GATACAGTTGAGGAAAGGTTTTGAGACGTGAGAGAACACAGTATGCATATTCAGGGAGCGGTAAGTGCTTGTGGTCTACTTGGCTGGGCAGAACAGCCAGAGATAAGGCCAGAGGTGTGGGCAGGAACTGGACCGACCACAGGGGCTCCCGTGTGTCATATTAAACATCCTGGAATTCTTCCCGAGAACGCTGGGGAGCTAGTAAAACAGGTGTTCCTGGTCTTAGACCCATGGATGCCTTAGAGGTGGGTTTGAACATCCGTGGACTCCCTAAAATTGTATGCATAACTGTGATCAGATTAGTGTTTTCTTGGCAAGAGGGCCCATAGCTTTCAGCAGCTTCTCAGAAAGATCAGTGACTCAAAAAAAGATGAAGAACCGCCACCTTCCCCGACCATCCTAACTAAAACAGCCCCACCCCCACCCCAGCTCAGGACTTTCATAGTACTCATAACAGAGTTGATTTGTTTCCTTGTTTTTTCCCCATCTTCCCCTCTGTGAGAGCAGACCGTGTCTTTCTTATTCAGGAGTCTATCTCCTGTGCCTAGAACGCATGGCCTGGAACTTACAGAACTCAATAAACATCTGCTAACTAAACAAATCTTACTACAGGTGTTTGGTTTTTTTTTCATTGTGGTACACATAACATAAAAGTTACCATCATTGCCATTTTTAAGTGGCCAGTTCAGTTGCACTAAGTCCGTTCACATTGTTGTGTACAATTACCATCTTCCATCTGCAGAACTCCTCTCATCTTGCAAAACTGAAACTCTGTACCTATTAAACACTAACTTTCCATCCTCCCACCCCAACCCAGCCCTTGGCACCCACCATTCTACTTTCTGTCTCTGTGGCTTTGACTACCCTAGGAACCTCATGTAAGTGGAATCGTATTATAGTATTTGTCCTTCTGTGACTGCCTTATTTCACTTAGCATAATGTCATCAAGGTTCATCCATGTTGTAGCAGGTGTCAGGATTTCCTTCCTTTTTAAGGCTGAATAATTCCTTTGTAGAAATATACCACACTTTGCTGATTCATTTACTCATTGGACTTTTGGGTCACTTTTACCTCTTAGCCATTGCAGCCATCGCTGCTGTGAACATGAGTGTCTAGGAATCTTCTGATCCTTTTTGAAATAAGAGTCATCACAGGATGAGTTGATGGATGAATGGACGGTTGGATGGTGGATGGATGGGTAGATGGATGGGTGACAGATGAATGGATAGAGAAATGAAAGAGCTCTAGACTGAGTTAGATCTATTTCCTGTCCTAACTGTGACGCTTCCCACCTGCATGACACACCAGAGAGACTGTGAAGTAACAGTGACCTCATTGTAACAATGGTATTGAGTTAAAAGGAATTTCAGAATATTTATAAAGATGAATAAGTCTGTGCTATTTCATGATCACAGCTGGCGTGTATCAGTAACAGGATATGTACAAGACCATAAGGTGTTGCTGGCAAAGAAGAAAGGGGTTTCCCAGAGTGGTAATCCTAGGAAGGAAGGGAGTGATTCACATTGGGTAAAAACCACATTTAGTACCAAATGTGGAACAACCATAACATCAGTCAAAACAGCAAAAACAGAGTCACTAAAAATTCAAGACCTTGAGCCACAAACGATGTTGACAGTGAATGGGTCCAACTGCCAAAGAAAATGAAGAGTGTAGAGACGAGGCCTTGAGGATACTGAGCTCTGCTTTAAACTGGCCTCACAGGATTTCCTTATCCATAGTCTCACCATCTACAGCAATTGAAAACCAATCCTAACAGAAGAATGAACCAAAAATACAACCAGTTCACATAAAAGGAAATACAAATGGCATATAAATTTAGGAAAAGATATCCAGTCTCTCTCTAATAAAGCAAATGCAAATTAAAACTATAGTAAGATACTACTTTTTTACCTCTCAGACTGGAAAAGATCACAAATTGAAAATATATTGTGTTATAAGAGTAAACATTTACTCTCACACATTACAGGTGGAAGTATAAATTGGTATCAACTTCGACACAGTAATTTGAGAACATCTATCAAAACTATGTGAAGAGAATGAGAAGACAAGCCACAAACTGGGAGAAAATATTTGTAAAAGACACATCTGATAAAAGACTGTTAGCCAAACTATACAAAGAAATCTTCAGTCTCAACAATAAGAAAATTAACAACTCAATCTGAAAAATGGGCAAAAGATTTGAACAGATGCCTGTTCAGGTATATGGATATCTTCTGATATGCAAATAAGCATATGAAAAGATGCTTA